TACCATGCATCTCCAGAATGCTTGGCTTTTAAGTACCATCGTGATACACGCAATGAATCTGGGACACCATTCAGATTAATGAGTTCCCACTTCTGCAATGTGATCACTGACAGGGTGAAAATACCTGTTCTTCAGACTTAATACTGAATACCACTATGACCTCTAGTGTAAAAAAGAAGAAAAAGACACAAAAACCACAGGGATGAGTTAAACAAATGCTGTCAGATTGGAAATAGCAGCAGGAATACTGGCATGACCATGAGCCAGCCAATCAAGGTGTTTGAACTAGGCATTTGCTAATGAGGCTCTGTTAAATATTTGTATAAGTTAGTAACCAATTCTTCAAGTTCCAACTCAAGAAAATACCCAATTGTATTTTATTAAGGTTATAAATAGTAAATCAGATGTAAAGAACAGCTGACAATAAAACCACCCAGAGAGCCAAATAGGCATTCCTTTGCAACAAACTTTATGATATCTAACTACTAACTTCAGTCAATCTACAACTAGGCACACTAACAAAAGGTTTTCTACAAGGCTGTTAAGAAAAACACAGTATGTATTGCTGCATAATTTTCACTATGAAAATTACTGTTATGAGACTTCTGGTGAAAATGAAAACATTTTGAATTTGTAAGATTCAAATTCTCAACTTAAACTCAGCCTGAAAAGTTCCTCAGGAGGCACATCCTTCCACTGAATTTAGTTTGTAACAGACTTTAAGACAGTAAGAATGCAAGCAGCTTTTTGAAATATATGACATCCTCTGCCTTTCTTGTGATTGCAAAATTTAGATGTGTACATAAATCTGATAGGACACAATAGATCTTTTTTCTCCAGAGATAGCTGTCTTTCCTCTACACAAAATCAAATCTTGAAATTATTTTGCTTCATTAAATTAAATTTCTATTAATGTCCTTTCTTTTTATTGCTGCTGACAGTCGTTCTCACCTATGCTTAATGCTCTTTGTTTTAAAATTTTCTACTCCTTCAAACAGATTAAGTGATCATCTTAACACTTTCTTTGTATTTATATACACACACCACCCCTTCTGATAAACAGATAATCTTTGTAACACTATGTGTTAAGTGGCACATTTTATTTCCTTTCCGTATTAAAAATAAGAGCTTCCTGCATGCTCCCTGCTCAAATTACATGGATTTTCTTTAAGATTAGGGCATACATTGTAACAGCAGCATATAATTTTCCTGCACAATAATTTTTTTTCCAGTTGAAAGGTATCCTATAATATCATCAGCATCAACAGGAACAGACACCTGATTCTCAGCGAGACAAAGCTTCTATGTTTGGTGACTTTATTCTCTGTAAAATCAGCTTTCAGATGCAGAGCAGCTACAGAAAAACCTGCAAACAATCTGGAACCCATTCTTTGACCACCAAACGCTAGGCCAAAAGATGTAAAAAATGGTACCAGTAAGATTCTGTAATTTCTCCTTCTTTGTTACTCTTTTATCTTCTAGTTTTATACATTCTCAGAAAAGGGACGTGGGCATTGTCTCTCCTAAAAACATTTACCCATTTATGACTTTTTCTTGTTAAAATTACAATATATATAATTATGGGTAAGAAGGTCATACATATATAACATCTCAAAAACATCAGTATGTTCTGAAGATAAAAGACTAAGATTTTTATCTTTAAACATAATAATTCTCAAAATCTGTTTAAATTCATTCCAGAACATGGAATCTTTGATGCTTCAAAAAGCCCCTTGAAATGAATGTAAAGCAGCCAATTACAGACTCATGGCACTGAGCTGTGCTGGTTACAAAATACACATTTCTAATTGAGTATTTTTTCAAAGTCACTGGCTGAAGCTCTGTGCTAGAGAAGACAATGAAGTACAAGCCAGCACACATGTAAGTTCCATTCCTTAAAAAAGCCTAACGATCAAATTGCTAGTGGCATGCACGTCTTATGCTCAAAAGTCTGCCATTTCTGGCTGCTAATAATTATTAGAGTAAGAAGCATTAAGATGGTGCCAGACAAATGAGCATGCAAAAATTTTACGTTTTAAGTTTCATGGTTGCAAGGACACTGTGTAAACATGAACTTTTTTACTTAAATGTTTAGATGGTAAGAAGAAATAATGTAATAACAGCAATCACTATTTTTAGGTGAAACCTGTGTTGTTTTATGTATCCAATTAATACTACCCTTATAGACAGAACAGACATCATCCAGAGTCTGCAGTGAAATAATTTGCTTAAGCATTGAGACTTGGCCAAATGAAACATGTTAGTACAGCAAACGAAAAGATGGCAGAATGGTAAGTAAATATGCTCACTCAAGAAGGATGCATTTGCATGGTTTCATTTTTTGTGATTCATTAACCATTTCCATCATCAACCCTTTAGAATTGGTAAAAACAAGTTATATTTTACAAATTAATCATTTTAAAGAGAATTTCCCTTTCAAAATAGTTCTTGCAAGCTTGTAATTCAACATTTTTTCTTGGCTACTACTTTGTATTGTTGAAGTCAGTCCTGAGGTATCACTGCAAATATAGTTATCTTTTAGATGACATATGGCAAGATCTCCAATTCTTTGCAGCTTTGGAAATTTACATCCACCTGTTCATTCAGGATGCTAAGTATACAATGTGTTGACAAACAGACAAAACAGCAGATGGCAAAAAACAAACATTCAACATGAAACATTGAAGATCATCGGAAGAAATCGTAGACATTTGCCATTTTTATTTTAACAGCAAAATTATGTTTAAAAATAAATTCCACCATTTATTATGCTTGATGCTAATGAACATCTGTGATCAGAATATTCTCCACAAGAGAAATCATATTAATTGCAATTTGCATACAAGATGTTAGTTGCTTTATAAACTTTCTGATTTTAAGATAGCTAGCACTGACCACATGCATTTGTCAAGAAATCTTTAAACAGGCAGTACATGGCAGTGCTCACCATTCATCCTAGCTTTCTAAGTTGGAGTTGCTCTGCTAATTCACTACCACCACCATATCCGAAAAGCCCTGAAGCACCTGCAAATAGACTCATCCTCTGCCTCTAGCAATGCTACTACTGCCTATAGTAGCATCTTCAGAAAGCCATAAATTAACATTTTGTGACTTAGAGGTGTACAACCACTAAGATATCTTATGTACAAGCTTTTTTTGGGGAGCAATTACTTCATGTGAACAGGACACAGCAGGTAAGATGAGAGATTGTAGTGAAAATGCTAAGTCAGGTCTTGAAGCAGTGATTGAGCACCTGCTGGGAAGGCAGGGCCATCCCAAGGGAGCTCAGGTGCATGCAATGTACCTGAGTGACTGAAAGGGCTGGAGCCAGGATCCACCCCTTCCCAGACCTCATTTAGGGTTAGCAATGGAGATGAGGGTATCTCTTGCTGGAGATCCATACCTACTGGAGACCTTCCAAAGGCAAGCAGCTCTTTTCTTTCATTTCCTTATCTATGGCTGCTGCATATCGATTCATTCTCATTTGTTACAGCCAAAGACTTTGCCATCCTGCCATTACTGCAGTACTTTCCATCCCATTATAGCATTACAGAGGTCCAACCACTGCTACACTAATAATGAGCAGTGGGTGCCTATGGAATAGCATCAGGATAGGACAAAGATACAGTAACACCTCCCTTACATAAGTTCCACCCATATTTAGAAATCCACAGCTCATTGGTTTCTGGATCTGAGACTGTATTTTTGTGCTAACATGCCACCACAGGCTTTTTTTTTTTCATGAACTTCTAACATCTTAAATCAAGAAACACCTTGAATCAGTGCAATGACTTTCACACTGGAACCATGCACTATGTATTGTACTCTCCTGTAGCAGTGGCTTACAGGATGTATAAAAATAATTGATGTACTACTGCCATGCCTGTGCAGACAGTAGACTGCGCTAGATGCTGTATCAATAAATACATGTAGGAAAGTAAGAAAAACATAGAATATAAGAATACATGAAAGATATAGAAAAACAAGAAAGGTCTGTAAGCAGCTCTACTAGAAGAGAGAGACTAATGGTGACACAGACTAACAACCAACACGCAGCAGATCTGCCTCGGAGAAAACACCTACAAAACAATATCAGTGTGGACTTTTAGTCAGAAAAGCAGATCCATCACTGATAGTGGAGGAAAAAAAAACCTCTAGAGCTAAACAGCATAAAAAAGGGAAAAAAAAAACCACCTTAATGTTTGCTAACACTTCCCACTCTTCTCAGAGAGCACTGACCATTTAGACCACAAATGCAGAGATTCTAAAGAAAAGCCTATACATTGACAAATTTTCATTTTATACATTCTACTACTACAGCCTGTCAGGAAGAACCTTTTTTCTTATATCCAACCTGAACCTCCCTTAGTGCAACTTGAGGCTGTTCCCTCTTGTCCTGTTACTGTTTCTGAGGAGAAGAGGCTGACTTCCACCTCATCATAACCACCTTGCAAGGAGTCATAGAGCTGTAAGTTCCCCCCGAGCCTCCTCTACGCTGAACAGTTCCTGTTCCCTCAGCTGTTCCTCATAAGATTTGTGCTCCAGACCCCTCACATCCCTGTTGCCCTTCTCTGGATGCATTCCAGGGTCTTCACATCTTTTTTTGTGTAGTGAGAGGACCAACAATGAACACAGCAACTGAGATGCAGCCTCACCAGGGCTGAGTACAGAGGGACAATCACTTCCCTGCTCTGGCTGACAACATTATTTCTGATGTGAGCCAGGATGCCCCAGGCTTGTAACACTGTTACACTGTTTGTAACACTGAGCTTGCTGTAACCAAAGTGCAGAACCTGACATTTGGACATGCGGAACTTCATTCCCCTGGCCTCAGTCATTCAGGTGAATCTATAGGGCCTTCCTACCCTCAGAGAGACTGAGACAATCCCCAGCTTGGTGTCATCAGTGAGGGTGCGCTCAATTCCTGCATCCAAAGCAGCAGCTTTTACCTTATTAGTTTCTAAAACTTAATTCTGCACATCTAGCTGAATGATACTTACTAACAAAGCCAGCCTTTGGTACTTCTGCTTCAGTTCTGCTGGGCTGTCTGATGGCTGCGCACCCAGGATTTGGTACCAGTCCTTTCTTCTTGTCTGCTCCAAGGCCATCTCTGGCTAGCCTTGATTTGCTCAGTGCTGTGTAAGAAAAGGCAATAATTCTAAGTACAATTTGAAAAGGGAAGTTAAGAAAAGCAAGGAGGGAGGAAGTACAGGCAGCTGGTAACATAGCCTGCAGGCCACAGGGACAAAAAGAATGATTAGTGCTCAGTGTAGGTATGTTTAAAATATTAATGTAAAGGGCAAAAGGTGTATAATAAAAGGAGGTTGGTGGCCCTGCATGTGGCAGGGGGGTTGAAGATTCATGATCTTTGAGGTCCCTTCCAACCCGGGGCATTCTGTGAATTGGTAGCAGGAAATAGAAGCCAGGCACATTGAAGTTTAGGATTAAGAACAGTTTTTAAACATGGATGATTAGCTGTTGCAACAGACTTCTGCAAGTGAGGAAATGTAATCTCTTAATATCAATAGTCAGGCAGGATATACTGGACTCAGAACAGCCCTGCAATAAATAGAAAACAGTAAGGGACTGAGTGCTTCCACTGGCGTTATTCACACGAATCCTGTTTCTTCTTGATGATAAAGAAGAAAGAGAAAAATATGCTTTAAGAAAAAAAAAGAAAGAATAAAATAAGTACGGAGGAGAGCTAACAAACTTTTTTCAGAACAGAGCTTGGTATCAAGAGCATCAGAACAGCGTGTGCTGCAGATAACACACATTAGCTCACACACTGCTCAGAGCTGGGACAGGAAGCAGCACCTCTGCGTGCTCTGTAGCTGGAGTTACACACAGACTCGTAGGGACCCTGCGTTGCAGCTGCTATTTTGCAGCTATGTGTTTTAAGCAATGCGCGCAGTCGACTGATCAGGGACCTTCCGCGAGGAAGTGACGCCGTGCCTCAGCAAGGAAAGAACCCGCTACATGAATATAGGAAGAAGAGGCTCCCGTTCGTTTGTTTGTTTAACTGCCGAAACAGCGAGGCTCCCCGCGGCGCCGCGCACGGTTTCTGGCTGAGCCCCTTCCCGCCATTCCGCCCCTTCCCGCCATTCCAGCCCCCTCAGCGCAGCAGCGGCGCGAGAGCCCACCGCGACCGCTGGCGCCAACCTTCGGCGGCGCGAGACCGACCGCCCCTCACAGCGCGGCGCAGCGCGGCACGCACCCACCTGTCCCGCACCGCCGGCCTCACCGCGCAGCCTGCCGAACCCCGGCATCAGTCGTCCGGTGAGAAACGTAACCTCCGCTCGTCGCTTCGGCGTTGCGATGGGCAGCGCTGACGGGGGCCTCGCGTGTTTCCGCCCGGGCCCCAGTGGAGAAGCACCGGCAGGAAGCGGCGTGCCGGCCGGGCCCGACGCTGTCTCCATGGCGACGACGGCGCTGCTGAGGCGGCGGAGGACTCCGTAAGTAGCGGCTCCGGCCGCCCCCCAGCGCTCGGGAACGGCTGTCCGATCACCGCTCCGCCTGCGGGCCTGGCTGTCCGCCGCGGCTCCCTCCACTCTGCCCTTCCCGCCCTGCTGAGGTTCGCTGAGGTGCCCGCCTCCCCCCCCCCTCCTGTCCTGAGGGCTCAGCACGCGCCGTCCTGAAGGGGAGGGTTGGGCACCTCCTGGTCGTGGAAAGGAATAGTGCTGTAAGCACAGAAGGATATTCCCTTGGCTATAAGCTTAGCTCGGTACTCTGAACTTACTCTTCGTAATGTCTTTACCAATAATTGTCCGCACGAACTCAATTCGCAGTTCACCAAGCCTTTAAACGCACAGTTTCTGCCACCTTCCCCGGCCTTTGGGAGGTGTGAGCAAAGCGGCAGATGAGTGGGAGCTCTGCAGGGGTTGCTCCTTCCCTGCATCCCTCAGCAGTGCGTGGAGACAGGGCTTCAACCTGGGCTGCAGGGAGGTGAGAGGTTTTCGGGGTGGATGAGAGAAATGTTGCCTAATCGACACGGCCAACTTAGTTTTGTCACAGTTTTACCATTCAAATTCATTTCGGGATTGGTGCTGGTATCCAGATGGCAATGTTGTTTAAACTTGGGAGTTATTTGAGAAGTTAGAAGTGTTTTCTTCTGACACTGTGGTTGGCTGTAGTTAGTTGTTTGGCATGCAATTAATTATAGATGTTAAGGAATGGTTTCTGAGGCCAGTTGGGAAATTTTGGAGGGAAAGCAGTCATTCTTGCCTGTTTTAATGTGAAAGTTTGCTGTTTATGAACTTTCAAATGTACAAACTATGAAAAGAAACCACTGCAGTGTTATTTAGCCTTGCCTGATATTACAGTAAAAGTACAGTGAAATATTACCGTTATAACTGGTGAGGGGTCTGGAGCACAATCTTACAAGGAGTGGCTGAGGGATTGTTTTTTCTGGAGAAGAGGAGGCTCAGAGGAGACCTCATTGTGCTCTGTAACTTCATGAAGGGAGGTTTGGCCTCTTTTCCCAGGCAACAAACAGGACCTGAGGAAATGGCTGCAAGTTGTACCAGAGGAGGTTTAGGTTAGACATGAGGGAAAACTTTCTCTCAGAGAGTGGTCAGGCACTGGAATGGCTGCCCAGGGAGGTGGTGGAGTCGCCGTCCCTGGCAGTGTTCAAGAGGAACCTGGATGAGGAGCTATGAGATCTGGTTTAGTTTGTGGTAGCGATGGTAATGGGAGGATGGTTGGACTAGATGATCTTGCAGGTTGTTTCCAATCTTGTGATTCTATGATTCTACAGTCATTGTGTCTCAGTTTCTCCCGTGTTTTAATCTATCCCATTTCTGAAACCGCAGTGTTAGGTTTTGAGGTACTGTTAATCATAGGTTATTGTACTCTCTCTGGTCTTAGTGCCTTTTGCAGCTGCTGATCAGTCCAATCTGATCACCTTTCATTACTAGAGATAGCAAAATCCAGTTACTTCAAGATTTTGCTAGAATCAAAATGGTGTGTGAGAGAGGAAGAGCAGGGCAAAATTCCTACCACTTCCTACAGCTGCTAAGTTGCTATGGAGTTAAACCCAGCCATGGGCTTTGCTGCTTTCCTCCCTTCTGCTGGCAAAACAAAACTAAGTGAGCAGTATGCTAAGTGTGTGTTATCTTCAGCACACGCTGTTCTGATGTTCTTAATACTAAGCACAATTCTGGAAAAAGTTTCTTAGCTCTCATCTGTACTTATTTTATTCATGTTTTTTTTTTTTTATTATTTTTTCTTAAAGCATATTTTTCTCTGCTTTCCTCTTTATTTTATCACCAAGAAGAAATAGGAGTCATGCAAATAATGCCAATGGAAGCACTCAGTCCCTTACTGTTTTCTATTTATTGCAGGGCTTTTCTGAATCTGCCTGACTATTGATATTAAGAGATTACATTTTCTCACTTGCAAAAGTCTGTTGCAACAGCTAATCATCCTCTGTTTAAAAACTGCTCTTAATCCTAGATTTCAGTGTGCCTGGCTTCTATTTCCTGCTGCCAATTCATATGTTGCCAATTCATATGTACCTTTTGCAGTATTATTTTAAACATACCTACACAAACAAGCACTAATTATTCTTTTTTTTTTTTTTAATAAATATGCTAAATTAAGCATATTTAAGTCTTGCACAGATAGATATTTTCTCTTAGGTAATTTTTTCTAGTTCTGTTCCTTATTTTTTCCATCTTTTTATATTACAATTAATAGGGATTATTAGTTAATGTGGCAGTTAATATTACAGTATTTCCTGGAGGGGTCTCACCCATGACCTGCTTTTTTCATTCGGATGCACTGAATACATCCAGAAGATTTTTAATTCTTTCTCAAATGAATTTTTCTGTCCAAACTGTAGTAGATAGCTGACTCCAAAGAAAGGGCTAAGTGAGGATTCTGAATTCTGTCTCTTGGGAAGAATTGTTTTGTCTGTGAGAGATAACTTGTCCAACTTTGGGCAGCATTAGACTTCTTTTCTTAACCACTGGATTAAAAAAGATCTTTGTAAAGTAGACATAAAAAAAAAAAACAAAAAAAACCAAAAACCGACATTAATGTATTTTTGTTCATTTGTTATGAGAAAGGTTTCAGGGAGTTGAATGGTAAGTTATTCTAGAATTTGCTTCGATTGGGTCAGATTTGTCAACAGTAGAGAGAAAAACAAAGTTTTGTCTCCCGGGAGATGGGGATATGATAGACTAAATGTCATAATGATGTGAACAAATGAGATGTAACGTGCATTGAAAATATATGTTTTCCATTAAATTTCCACAAAAATGATTGAAAACGTCTTGGGAATTATTTAAGCAATTTACAATATTGTTTAAAAAGGTACATCTGGGCACACTGAGTACAGTCTTTTGTCGTTCATTAGCAATGTATTTAATGAGGGTTTTTTAAGTGATAGATAGTTAAGGTAACAGACAAGTGACAGATTGTTTGTCTTGAACGATTTCCCTATTTCAGGCCCATTACAAAGCAATTAGAAATCTGACAGCATTTTTCCTCTGCATTACTGATCATCTAAAGTGATGAGAAATGAGAGGTGATGAATATTAATTGTGTATTTTCATATAATTATCATAAATTATTACCTTGTCTAGTGTGCTGCAAGTGAAGTAAACTCAGCGGATGAAAACTCAGACAAAATTGATAATTTGAAAGATTTTATAACTTAGATTTTACTTTTTGTTTTTCAAGTGTGGTGTCAATCAATCTAAATCAGTGAGATGAACTGAGGGAAATATAAGGATAGTTGTACTTTGCTAATGTAGGTCTGCACAGTATTTACTCCTGCATCCTCTGACAAATTATGTCTTTTCAAACCCGCTACGTTTATATGGAACTTATATCTGTGCCTGTTCAACCTGTCCTATAAATATTTACTTAATGTTTGAGGTTTCAAATGGCTTTAAAAGCAGATACTTGGCTGAACCAAGAACCTGCTATTTTCATCTTTTATCACTCAGTTGGTAATGTTCATTTGAATTTGCCACCTGTTTGTGCTGTGCTTTTTGTCTAGGGACCCCAGTCTCTTTAAATTCCTATACTGAACAGACTGAATAAGGCTTCTTTTGTTGATATAACTTGATCTTGTTTCTGATTATTGTTAAAGCAAAAGTTTAAAAACCCTTAACCAATAGCAAGCTTGTCTAATGTCACAGTGGTTACTAGCTAGTGCAAATTGCTGTACATCTAAAGGCAATGGAGCAACAACTGTGGAATCTATAATGCTTGCAAGCATGTTAGGTCAACAGTTTATATTAACAATAGTTTCTGGGAAATATAATTATCAGATCAAATATTTAGATTTTAGATTTTTTTATTTTAATTTGTTTTTTTTTTTTACTGATAATTGGAATGTTTCCACTTATTTGTTGAAGGCCAGAGTACTAATGGGCTTTCTGATTACTTTCCATAGAGGTACACTTCATAGTTAATGATACTTTCAATAAACGTTTTTCCATTATATAGGGTTTTTTTAAGACTAAACTGCATTCCAGGTATGGTGACAAGCTATAAAATAATGGCTTTTAGTGGTACAGTGAAGAACATATTTGCTGTACTTCAAATGCCATTTCTGTATATATTTCTGTATTACATAGAGGTTTTAATCTTAACTTAAGCTAGGATGTATGTTATCTTTTCAGTTTCAACTGGAAGATGTAGTTTGAAGGTCCAGTTATGCTGTTCTAATGGTTAGTTGCCACTGAAAGTGGGAGGGCAACAGAACAGCAACCCATGTTGCATGACTAGTCAAAGGGTTGAGTTTGTCTAAGAGGTTTTGTAGCTGTTTTCAGTGAATGGAGACAAGGGAACAGCAGGTCAGTAAAAGCAATCTTAGTTTATCATTTGCCTAACTATTATAATTCAGTGTTATTACAAAAATACTATCATGCATTGGATTTCTACAAACAAAGATACTATTTAAAGCTATGTGAAGTTATTTGAGGATGGTATCCAATGCGGAGGGAATTGGAGGAAAAATATCAAGCATCATTTGATTGCTGTCAAATGTAGCATTGTTGGGAAAATCAGTGGCGTAATACCATTTTTACATATTTACATATTTAAGGCTAGAATTTATTACTAAAAACATTAGAAACCAATTCTAGTTCTTGTTTAGAGCAAATTATGCTTTATTGTAAGTGACACAAGGGGTATTTTATCAACCAAAAGTCTTCTTCCTGGCAAAGGATCATGGTACATTTCCCCTCTTCCTCCTCTCTTATGAAACTGTAGTATCAATCTAGAGCCTTTTCTTGGCTTTATTCCCTTCTCTGATGTTAGACAGATGGGAATATATATTTTTTGCTTCTGACACAGAGCGGAACACTTTTGACCCATCACCTTTCCTTGTGCTAAAGAATCTTGAAGAGAGTAAACCTTGTTATCTAGTGCTAGTCAAAAAGATAACTTCATCAACTGTACTTTGAATGGATTTGTGATAGAAAGGTCAGCTTAGTCGTAG